AAGTGTGTTCAGACATTAAAATATAATACTTAAAATTAGAGAATTAACAATTACAAATAAAATGAAAAATATGATATCAAATATAAACAAAACAAAATAGAATATTCTGGATAATGAAAAGTCAGAAATACTCCAGAAGTTTCTTAGAAAGGTCAAAGTGCAGAGAGATGAAACATTCAGGCTCTTCACCACAAACAGATCATTTAAAGAAATGCAGCTGATATTACAAAATAAACTGGAAATCATTGCAAAATGTTAATTTTATTATTAGTATTCTCTCTTCCTGCAGACCCGGCGCTGCTCTTCTCTGATTGGTCGGTGTTTCAGGTCGGCCTCGTGAGTCATCATTCAATCCTCCGTAACAAACTCAAAGTATAATGTGTTTATCTATTTCTTTATTGGTATCCTTCTATAGTTGAATGTGCAGGTTTTGAAATGCTTTAACCTCAAAATAACGCTCTGACAGAACCTCAGACCTGCAGTCTGGACTCTGGGAACACTGGGAACACTTTTTCAAAGTATAACTTATAAATGCTCTGAAGAATAGCGTGCACAAAGAAATGTAATAAACAAGAACTCTGGCTTAGTGTCAAGACTCTTAAAAGAAGACGGAGATCACTGGTTTCCTCAATAAAACATTTTACTACATGTAGAACAGAGGAACAGCAGCTTCTCATTTGTTTATCAGGAACATTTCCATACATTTCTGAACACGTGTTTCTTTGCATATCTGTTTGAAACTCTCCAGATACGACCTGATGAAGTTCTGCTGAAACACATCCCTCAAACTCCTGAACTCTTTAAAGTGCCTCCATAAACATTCACCTGTTTGTCATCTTGAGCAATAAACTGTATTTAATGTTGTCTTAATGTACATTATTTAGTGAGAATGCTGATACAGCATTCCCACTATATGTTCTTCTACGGACAAAATTATTATTATTCCGCCGGAACTTTGCACCTCTTCTCCTCCTGCATTCAACATCGCAGAAACTCCGTTCAAACATCAAAACGTTCAGCTCGGTCGGGAATCGATGGCTATTACTTTTTTCATTCATAACTTTCATAATTCCAGAGATACAGCCCATAATACATCACATTTTTAACCATTGAAGTCAATGGAGAAATTCTTGAACAATCTTCATGCGACTTCAACTGCTAACTGTTCATTCATACTTTCACTCAGAAACCTCATTCCAACTTTAAAATGTTACACATCTTTGTGACATTATTCGTGTAACACAACTTTTAAATCTGATTCTTACTTTTAGAGATATTAAACATTGTTCAGACCTTGGTAAAGAGGCTTTCTTCAGATTTTAACATTAACTAGAGTGCGTGATGTCACAGCTAGAGGGTGAGAAATCTTGAAATTTGCCTTCATATATATTTTTAAAACTGCCATAATTCCCAAACCCTACATTCCTGAGACATAATTTTTCATGACAAATGTAGGAAAACATATCGTAGCTTGAAAAATGACAAATAATTCAGTAAAAATAATTAAACAAAATGCCTCTTGAGGGCATGAAGTGACAAAAATGTTCAACATGTCTCCATTAAAGCCCATTGTAATTTCAGGCAGATATTTCCTCACAGCAGCAGCCGCACACCTTTAGTTAAACTGCCAAAAAGGCCACATTATTAACCCGAAAATACACAAAAAGTACACTTCAGATACTCAACTTCCTTGACATGCTTCACATTTGTATCAGACATCCAGATCACCAGACCTCAGGAGAGACAGACAGGTGAGACCGACAGAGAGACAGGTGAGACAGACAGGTGAAACAGACAGATCACCAGACCTTAGGAGAGACAGACAGACAGGTGAGACAGACAGAGAGACAGGTGAGACAGACAGGTGAGACAGACAGATCACCAGACCTCAGGAGAGACAGACAGGTGAGACAGACAGAGAGACAGGTGAGACAGACAGGTGAGACAGACAGATCACCAGACCTCAGGAGAGACAGACAGGTGAGACATCCAGATCACCAGACCTCAGGAGAGACAGACAGAGAGACAGGTGAGACAGAGAGACAGGCAGGTGAGACATCCAGATCACCAGACCTCAGGAGAGACAGACAGACAGGTGAGACAGACAGAGAGACAGGTGAGACATCCAGATCACCAGACCTCAGGAGAGACAGACAGGAGAGACAGACAGAGAGACAGGTTAGACAGACAGGTGAGACATCCAGATCACCAGACCTCAGGAGAGACAGACAGAGAGACAGGTGAGACAGAGAGACAGGCAGGTGAGACAGACAGGTGAGACATCCAGATCACCAGACCTCAGGAGAGACAGAGACAGACAGGTGAGACAGAGAGACAGGTGAGACATCCAGATCACCAGACCTCAGGAGAGACAGGTGAGACATCCAGATCACCAGACCTCAGGAGAGACAGAGACAGACAGGTGAGACAGACAGAGAGAAAAAGTCTTCAGTGACGTGTGCAGTAGAGAGAGAGAGTAACCTGTGTAGTTTGTCCTCAGTACCTGAGAGAGAGAGAGAGAGAGAGAGAGAGAAAACTGTGTAGTTTGTCCTCAGTACCTGAGAGAGAGAGAGATAGAGAGAGAGAGAAAACTGTGTAGTTTGTCCTCAGTACCTGAGATAGAGAGAGAGAGATAGAGAGATAGAGAGAGATAGAGAGAGAGAAAACTGTGTTTGTCCTCAGTACCTGAGATAGAGAGAGAGAGAGATAGAGAGAGATAGAGAGAGAGATAGAGATAGAGAGAGATAGATAGAGAGATAGAGAGAGAGAAAACTGTGTTTGTCCTCAGTACCTGAGATAGAGAGAGAGATAGAGAGAGATAGAGAGAGAGATAGAGATAGAGAGAGATAGAGAGAGAGACAGAGAGAGAGAGAACTGTGTTTGTCCTCAGTACCTGAGATAGAGAGAGAGAGAGAGAGAGAGAGAGAGAGATAGATAGAGAGAGAGAGAACTGTGTTTGTCCTCAGTACCTGAGTGTGGTGCAGGCTCTGGAGTCAGAGGAGCGCTCGGTGAGGAGCGCCCCCTACAGGAGGTTCAGACCTGAGGAGCGCCCCCTACAGGAGGTTCAGACCTGAGGAGTGCCCCCTACAGGAGGTTCAGACCTGAGGAGCGCCCCCTACAGGAGGTTCAGACCTGAGGAGCGCCCCCTACAGGAGGTTCAGACCTGAGGAGTGCCCCCTACAGGAGGTTCAGACCTGAGGAGCGCCCCCTACAGGAGGTTCAGACCTGAGGAGCGCCCCCTACAGGAGGTTCAGACCTGAGGAGCGCCCCCTACAGGAGGTTCAGACCTGAGGAGCGCCCCCTACAGGAGGTTCAGACCTGAGGAGCGCCCCCTACAGGAGGTTCAGACCTGAGGAGCGCCCCCTACAGGAGGTTCAGACCTGAGGAGCCGGTCCACACCAACGCCAAGCTGTCTCCAGTTATTGTGCTTTTTATCTCGTTTTGAATGATCGTTTTACTCCCATGTGTTATTTGATGTGTTCCCTGTCCTCTGGTCACCGGAGGATGTTTTAAACGTTATATATAAATACATAAAAATTGAGATTGTAGAATTAAAAACACTGAAAGCGTCATTTCATTTCCTCTTTATTGTCAAAAAATGTACAGACAGTGAAAGTAAAAGCACAGATCTCATTTCTCTTGTTATCATCATGATGGGGCAAAGTAGAGTTGCTGAACGTGTGCAGCGCTCGGCATGCAAACACCTCACAGTCTGAAACCAAAACACCCACACAGGAAAGCTGAATGTCCCGGAGAGGAACGTGTCTTTGAACGCCTCTCAGGGTACTAAAACTTAGACAGGAACCACGGGGAACATCAGAACCAGAGGAGGCGTGTTCTTTACTTTTACATCAGAAACACTCCAGCTAATGGAGTTTAAAATGAGCTCGTCTTGTTCTGATGTTGCTTTAAAATCAGTGAACTTAAAGAGGCCCAATTCTGTTCATTTAAAGGGTTGATTAGTGTCTCCGTGCTTTAATGCTCAATTTATGTTTCTCATACTGCCTGTTTTCACCCTCTGTCTGAAACCAGAGCTGCTCTGATTGGTCAGCTGGGTTGTGATTCACCAACCACTTAGAGATGTCCCGCCCCCTAACCCTATCACGTACAATGTGTTGGAGGAAAAAGTTAGAATTGGGGATTTTAACAAAAGAAGTCACATTTTGAGATTTCCTGAAAAAAGATTTTTTTTTTTTTTTAAAGAGTCGGAATTCTTGGAAAAAGTCAGAATTCTAACATTTTTAGAAAAAAAAGTCAGAGCCCAGTCCGCTCTGATTGGTTAGCTGGCTGGCGCTGTTGTGATTGGTCAACCAGCTTAAAGATGTCCCGCCCCCTCAGCTTATCAATGTGTCGGAGCGCTATAGTGACGTCACTATGCTCTGGAAGTGGGAGAGAAACGACAGGAAGCCCCCCCCCCCCAAAAAGCAGAATATAGGGCCTCTTTAAACGGTGATCCACCCCTTGATTAAAAGCTTTAAATACAGTCGTGGTTATACTGTGTGATCTCCACACGTGTCACACAGGATTTAGAGCGGCACAAACACACACACGGTGAAACGCAGTCTACAAAACAAGTCCCTCAGACTGAATACTGGCCGAGTCAAAGAGCGACGACACGCTGACGCTCTGCACGACTTGCAGCTGCGTGTTGTCGCTCTTTAATAACAAATCCACACTGGAGAGCCGGCCGAACACTGCTGCTGCTTTAAGGGTTTAGAGTCCAGTGTGGAGTCACTTTTTAAACTGCAATGCCTCCTAAAACAGAGGCACGCCAAAGACCAAACTAAATCTAAACACATCATTTCTTGGACAGAGCCACAACTTGATAAAAACCATAAAGAAGTAGAAGTCGGTGGATTTTCAATTAAAAACTAAGTAAAACCTGCTAACTCTAAAATGAAACGTGTTTTCTGTCACTGGATTTGAAACCAATGCACAAACTGGGAAAGGTGGATTTTTTTTTAAAAAGGAGACAAACATCCTGACCTGAATGCTATGACACCTCAAACCCTGATGCATTCAAAGACAGTCCGTAAACGCAGGACTGCTCATTAGACTGCATTATGCCATCCACAGAAAATAAGAGCCAGGTATTTGTTTTAATCGTGTAATTGTTTGCATGCAAAGACGTCTGAAGAAGCTGCTTCCAGCCTCTCAGATATGAAGCTTGTCTGATTTCTGATTCATCTGGTATTTAAAGTGATGTCTTTTGTCTTAAGGACTGATCTCAGGACTGTTTTCTAACATTTTAAAGCCCGACCTGGAGAAAATAACCGGCAGATAAATGGATAATAGAATAGAGTGGCCTCCCTACTAGTCGTAGTGCTGTCTGTTAAAGATAAACCAGGAAAAGGAATTGGATTTATATTCATCATAAAAAGGCCTGACCTACATACCGTAGCACTGGAACAGTTACTCATTAACACAAGATCATAGTCCCGCGTCATTTCACAATTAAACATTTTATAAACCAAATTAGAGGCAGACATTATAAATGTGTGCGTTTGAAATAATTTCTTCTTTTATCCTGTGTTTAGCAGCAGGCGTGTAGCTCCTCTTCGTCCTCGTCTTCACCGGGACGGCCCGAGGGTAACCTACAGTATTCGGGTTTTTTTTTTTTTTTTGGACAAAGCCAGCACCCGTTTTACACCTTGTTGCTCCAGAGGGATGTTGGAAACAAAATGTAGGAGACTGACCACAACAGGTAGTACACACATGCGGGGGGGAAGGAAGAGCAGAACACCATGGCGACTCCTGGAAATAAAAAAAATATAGAATTTGTGAGAAGAGGATAAGCAATTAAAAAAAACACATTAAAACTCAAGAGCTACGGTAACCTACGGAGGCCGACAGGTGCTAACAGGTGCTAACGTGCTACAACGAAATCTCTTCCATCAGGAGAAGCAGCTTCAGAAAGGATGCAGAGACAAACACCCAAATGTTTCACACGAAGAAACTTCTTCAGCAAAAACACATGCAGCGTTTAGAGAAGTCACTCTTTAGTGTCCCCTGGTCTCCAGCTGTGTGCGTCACTCTTTAGTGTCCCCTGGTCTCCAGCTGTGTGCGTCACTCTTTAGTGTCCCCTGGTCTCCAGCTGTGTGCGTCACTCTTTAGTGTCCCCTGGTCTCCAGCTGTGTGCGTCACTCTTTAGTGTCCCCTGGTCTCCAGCTGTGTGCGTCACTCTTTAGTGTCCCCTGGTCTCCAGCTGTGTGCGTCACTCTTTAGTGTCCCCTGGTCTCCCAGCTGTGTGCGTCACTCTTTAGTGTCCCCTGGTCTCCAGCTGTGTGCGTCACTCTTTAGTGTCCCCTGGTCTGCCAGCTGTGTGCGTCACTCTTTAGTGTCCCCTGGTCTCCCAGCTGTGTGCGTCACTCTTTAGTGTCCCCTGGTCTGCCAGCTGTGTGCGTCACTCTTTAGTGTCCCCTGGTCTCCAGCTGTGTGCGTCACTCTTTAGTGTCCCCTGGTCTCCCAGCTGTGTGCGTCACTCTTTAGTGTCCCCTGGTCTCCCAGCTGTGTGCGTCACTCTTTAGTGTCCCCTGGTCTCTCAGCTGTGTGCGTCTCTCTTTAGTGTCCCCTGGTCTCCCAGCTGTGTGCGTCACTCTTTAGTGTCCCCTGGTCTCCCAGCTGTGTGCGTCACTCTTTAGTGTCCCCTGGTCTCCCAGCTGTGTGCGTCACTCTTTAGTGTCCCCTGGTCTCTCAGCTGTGTGCGTCACTCTTTAGTGTCCCCTGGTCTCCCAGCTGTGTGCGTCACTCTTTAGTGTCCCCTGGTCTCCCAGCTGTGTGCGTCACTCTTTAGTGTCCCCTGGTCTCCCAGCTGTGTGCGTCACTCTTTAGTGTCCCCTGGTCTCTCAGCTGTGTGCGTCACTCTTTAGTGTCCCCTGGTCTCCCAGCTGTGTGCGTCACTCTTTAGTGTCCCCTGGTCTCCCAGCTGTGTGCGTCACTCTTTAGTGTCCCCTGGTCTCCCAGCTGTGTGCGTCACTCTTTAGTGTCCCCTGGTCTCCCAGCTGTGTGCGTCACTCTTTAGTGTCCCCTGGTCTCCCAGCTGTGTGCGTCTCTCTTTAGTGTCCCCTGGTCTCCCAGCTGTGTGCGTCACTCTTTAGTGTCCCCTGGTCTCCCAGCTGTGTGCGTCACTCTTTAGTGTCCCCTGGTCTCCCAGCTGTGTGCGTCACTCTTTAGTGTCCCCTGGTCTCCCAGCTGTGTGCGTCTCTCTTTAGTGTCCCCTGGTCTTTTAGTAAACCCTCAAGTTGCTGAATGTCCTCAACACGCTGCATGTGTTGCTGAAGATGTTTCTTCATGAGGAACATTTAGTTTTTATATCTGCATCCTTTCTGAAGCTGCAGCGTGTTTCTTCTGATGAAAGTATGTAGGATTGTTGAAACTCATTTGCACCTGTCGGCTTCCGTAGTTATTATGGAATAATCTGCCGATTATTTTCTAGACCAGTAATTCCCAAACTCTTGTTTACTTGCTTACGGTCTACCAACTCGACCCAAACTGTCATCAACTTGAATCCAAAAAAATCATTTTATTTCAGACAACAGTTATTTATCACATATACACATCACATTACAATGATGTAAACATAAGCTGTTCAATATTTCTGAACTTAAATTTGGTTGGACTTGACTTTGGCGTGAATTAGCATCGTTAGCGTTAGCTTGACGAGACTGTATTCGGACTCCTTAGTTGGACAATTAAAATTTAAAAAAGCTAAAGGGTCCAAAAAACAGTTTCCAAGTGAAAACGCCGGGCCGACGGGTCAAAGTCAGACGAACATTTAGCTGCTGAAGACGAGTTGCCGTTGGCAGCTGAGCCGCGCCACTTCTAGCAAGAAAATGAATCGACACCAACATCAACCTGGGGTTTAGAGAGATTTGGTTTTTGTACATACTGTAAAAAGTTTGGGAACCTCTGTTCTAGATGAAAATAATCATCGTCAGAAAATATAGAAAAAGTCCATGCTGATATCTTTAAACTATGGGTCTTTAACAGGGGGTCCGTAGCCCCTAGTGGGCGCTCTGAGTTACTGCACAAACTACTGTTTTCAATGAAAATTTAAATAAGTCTGAAAATACATTATACAGTAACATGTATACAACATATTATTATTGAGAATAAATCGGCCTATTCGGAAAAAACAAACAAAAAAAACAACATTTATTTTACACAACATAATAAAAGTCTAACTGTTAGTTATGAATCCAAGCTAAGCTAGCTCACCTGCGCTAAATCAGGGTATAACAACTATTCATATCAGCCAACTAATCAGCTGTGGCAACGTTTTAATATTTACTTAGCTTCATATTGTTTGCACCATAAAAATATTTACATCTCCACTTTCTTGTGGTGTCCCTCAGGGCTCAGTTCTTGGCCCATTCTTGTTCATTATTTAAATTCTCCTTCTTACATTTTATATTTAAAGAATGTAAAAAAAAAGTAGATTTTATGATAAGAATGTATGCACCTTCGTGTTTTAAACGCTTCTGACTGTAAGACACTGAGTTTTAGAACAATGCAAAATGGGAAATATGGAGTTAAAGGGGCCCTATTCATAATACTATGTAGTGTCTCTACTTTAAAGAGTCCTCTCCTGCTGATGTTCAGGTGTATATCAGTAGTGTCTCTACTTTAAAGAGTCCTCTCCTGCTGATGTTCAGGTGTATATCAGTAGTGTCTCTACTTTAAAGAGTCCTCTCCTGCTGATGTTCAGGTGTATATCAGTAGTGTCTCTACTTTAAAGAGTCCTCTCCTGCTGATGTTCAGGTGTATATCAGTAGTGTCTCTACTTTAAAGAGTCCTCTCCTGCTGATGTTCAGGTGTATATCAGTAGTGTCTCTACTTTAAAGAGTCCTCTTCTGCTGATGTTCAGGTGTATATCAGTATGTAGTGTCTCTACTTTAAAGAGTCCTCTCCTGCTGATGTTCAGGTGTATATCAGTATGTAGTGTCTCTACTTTAAAGAGTCCTCTCCTGCTGATGTCCAGGTGTATATCAGTATGTAGTGTCTCTACTTTAAAGAGTCCTCTCCTGCTGATGTTCAGGTGTATATCAGTATGTAGTGTCTCTACTTTAAAGAGTCCTCTCCTGCTGATGTTCAGGTGTATATCAGTATGTAGTGTCTCTACTTTAAAGAGTCCTCTCCTGCTGATGTTCAGGTGTATATCAGTATGTAGTGTCTCTACTTTAAAGAGTCCTCTCCTGCTGATGTTCAGGTGTATATCAGTATGTAGTGTCTCTACTTTAAAGAGTCCTCTCCTGCTGATGTTCAGGTGTATATCAGTATGTAGTGTCTCTACTTTAAAGAGTCCTCTCCTGCTGATGTTCAGGTGTATATCAGTATGTAGTGTCTCTTCTTTAAAGAGTCCTCTCCTGCTGATGTTCAGGTGTATATCAGTATGTAGTGTCTCTACTTTAAAGAGTCCTCTCCTGCTGATGTCCAGGTGTATATCAGTATGTAGTGTCTCTACTTTAAAGAGTCCTCTCCTGCTGATGTTCAGGTGTATATCAGTATGTAGTGTCTCTACTTTAAAGAGTCCTCTCTATAAAAGTGTTGTTGAGGGCCTAGTTTAATATGAAACTCAAGCTACCGATCCGACTAAATTTCACTGCTGATTTAAATTCAGTCTGACAGTTAGTTTCTATTTGCAGTTTAAGGTCTCCCATCTTAAATGTTTTGGATATGTAATACATCAATATGGCTTCAACTTCCACCTGTATGCTGACGATATGCAACTCTATATATGCACATCAGCTCTCTGATACCCTTGAACCGTGCCAGGCTACGTAAATGATGTTAATGCTCAGATGACCTGCAATTACCTTACACTTAATCTCGTTAAATTTGAGGCTATCCTCCGTGCTGCCACAGCCAAACTTTGCCAACATTCACTTCTAAATCTGTCCATGGTTTCATTATCGAGGTCAGAAATGTAGGAGTAACTTTATACTTCTCTCAGGGTCTGAATAACTCTCCTTTTTACATTAGCCTTTCCCAGTGCTTCGTAATGTTTTAATTAAGGACATGTTCGTATCTGTACATATTATTAATCACCACCGCTAAGCTAAAGGTGGCTAATGTTGGGCTATAAAGGAACTACAGCACGGTCACATGACTTCACGTCACCACCGCTAAGCTAAAGGAGGCTAACGTTGCTTCAGTTTGTGTTAACCACCTTATTACATTTCATTTAATTTACCTGACGCTTTTATCCAAAGAGACTTACAATTACCAACTACAGGGACATTCTCCCTGGAGGGCTAAGTGCCTTACTCAAGGGCACACTAGTGGTGGTGTTCCTGGCGACCTTCCGATCTTCAGCCCACTATCCATTAGACCACCACTATTATATTTGCTCGACGCTACCATAAGTGGAAAGAAATGAAAGTGAGATGGAGTGAAAAGGTGGAGGTGTGTGAGATGGTCTTTACCTCCAGCGTACACTGCCTTCTTCCAGGCCTGGGACTCGAGCACGCGGTCGTGAGGGTAGAAGCTCTGGCTGATCATGAAGAGGATCATGGCCACAGCGATGATGCGCAGCATCGGGAGGTTCCCCCCCGACAGCAGGGAGGCGCTGGCCAGGATCCCAGAGGAGTAGATGCAGGGGAGACCACGGTACATGAAGGGAACTCCTGTGGGAATAACACAAAACTACACTTAGACATGTTCATATTGAACAGCATGCATATTAAAACCGCTAGAAGAGTCTGTTAGGTTCAGAAAGTAACAGCACCTTAACACAGCTTTTAAAACCAGGAAAAGTGTCCTTTTTACTAGTTTGTTATTGACTTCTCATTGAGAACGTTGTCATGTTGCCGTTGTTCAGCATGGAAACATTCATTAGCTAACAATGACATTATTGTTCTATTAATATAAAGGGAGGTCAGGTACTCTTTAAAACAGCTGCTAGTTATGGGTACTTTTTACTGAAGTACATTTCAAAGCCCATACTTTTTTACTTTTACTTTGGTAAAAGTAGAAGTATTGACTAAACTTCTTTACTCAATACTTCTACCAGAGTATTTTTAAACATGAGTATCTGTACTTCTACTTGAGTAAAGGATGTTTTTAGTGTAACTCTCACCACTGGTGTAGAAACAGAGGCGGACGAACACTGAAAGCACGTAGCAGACACACAGGATGTTGTCCATCAGGTCTGTGGTCCTCAGCAGCAGAGCGGTGGCGATGCCGAACGTCGTGAAGTCGGCGAAATCATCCAGCTTTGCACCTGAACGCAACATGGAAAAATGTGACAGTGTTAGATATAAACAATTCCAGAAGTTTGTTTCATCCCACAGGCCATAAGACTGTTAAACACCTGAACATCCATAACATTCATCTGTTTTGCATCTTGTAAATTATTTATATTTACTTGCACTATTTTATCCGATTTATTGTGTTGCATTGTGGGAGGAGCCTGTGACCTCAGAATTTCATTGACATAACTACACTGTAGCTCTGAACACGTGACAATAAAAGCCTTGAACCTTGAATCTAGTCACACATTGCATTGTGAATAACAGGATTTATTAAAGCTCCCACTGATGCCACAGCTTCCAGCTTTGCACCTGAACGCAGCACGGAAAAATGAGACCGTTTTTTCAGTCTTGTTTTCTGAGCATTGTTGAATGTGTGTGTTATTGCTATTGAGATGTTGACATTTTTAAATGTTTATTTCTTGTCTTTTCAGTTTATTGTACAATGCCATGTCTTTTTATGCTGCTGCAACACAAACATTTCCCAACTGTGGATCAATAAAGTACTTCTGATCTTATCTTCTTTGTTGGCAGCATTCTTTGTTTAAAAGGAATAAACATTTTAGTTAACGTTCACTCTGAGTCCCTCTGTTATTGGTTGTTTTTTGTTACTGCCCCCTAGACCAGCGGTTCCCAACCGTTTTCAACTCAGGGCCCACTTAACCTGTTAAGCACCAAGCCTGCTTTTCATGTTTCAGGCTCGAAAATGACATGCCCAAAACAAATGACTACAAGTTAACTTTTAAAAGGGTTATATGAATAATTTCTTTTATCAAAGCAAGGTTACATCTGTGAGTTGGATGTAGAAGTGTCAGAATCAATATAAATGTTTTTTATTTTAAAGAAAATTCAGATTTTACATAGTAAAAAACTGTAAATTATAGTGTCCGTCCAAAAATTATTTTTTACTTATAGTGAAAACTACCCTTGGATGATGGGTTAGTAGACTAAAAGCTTTAGGAATCCAAAGTACAACATATAATAAGTACCCTGTATCAAGATTGATGCAAAACAAGTGACATTTGACCTTTTTAGAGAGGTTTAGCCAAAACCACCCCACCTCTGAGGTGATTTGGGTGAAAATTGTTTTTTTTCCATATCTCTGGCCCCCCTTGGTTGATTTTGATGGTTGACACCTCTTTCTGACCGTTAGAGCCAATAGAATCGAAGGGGGAGACCCCCACACACACACACATTGTGAAGAGAAGAGGTGGGCGCTTCGCGCATGTAATTTTGCAGCAGAGTGGACCTATCTCTAGCTCTGACATTTGGAAACGAAAAAGCAGTTTTATTGCTTATGGATTATCAGAAATCATTTCAAAGAGGACACAGACACATTGGATGAACCTATGGATTAACTGCAGCATCGTTTTATCGTTTTAATGCCATTGAAGACCAGTTTTGACCAAGGTAAGCCATGTTAGCGTTTCTAGCTACTTAGCTCCACATGTTATGATGTACGCTTTTGTTTATAGCGTCGCAAATGTTTATCACTGAGTGTTGAGGTGGGCACCAAACGATTCAGTGTCTCCAGGAGATGCTAATCGAGGGGTTGGCTGTGCATCTAGGATAAGTAATAAGGGAGTTATGAGTGAGTTTAAGTGCCGTTTTAGGTTACATTTTTTCGCTCGTGGCTAATTCAGAGGCTGAGTGTTAGCATTGTGGGGTTTTTTGGGAAAAAAAATTAAAAAGATCAGTTAGCTGAGTTTCTTCCCGTTACATGGATATAAAACATTCATAGTTTATTAAATATTAAGATTCCTTAGACGTTGTTCCTGCAAATGACGCGTTTATCCGCCCGGTACCGGGGGGGCGGTGCGTAACAGGTTAAGAATCTAAAAAATGTGCGCGGCCCACATTCAACCATAAACAATACGGAGGCTAAATAAAGTTCTGATTAGTCGATTCAGAACATGTGGCAAGTTGTTAATCCAGTAGAACAGACCGCTGTCAAGGACTGTAATGACCGTTACTAAGGACTGTAATGACCGTGTTGCTCAGGACTGTAATGACCGTTGCTAAGGACTGTAATGACCGTTGCCAAGGACTGTACGGACCGTTGCCAAGGACTGTAATGACCGTTGCTAAGGACTGTAATCCCCGTTGCTAAAAACTGTAATGAACGTTGCTATGGACTGTAATGACCGATGCTAAGGACTGTAATGACCGATGCTAAGGACTGTTGCTAAGGACTGTAATGACCGTTGCTAAGGACTGTAATGACCGTTGCCAAGGACTGTAATGACCGATGCAAAGGACTGTAATCACTGTTGCTAAGGACTGTAATGACCGCTTTAGCTTGTGGAGATAATTCTCCACAAGACGTCAGTTCGTCTTGTCCTGTCTCCATGCGAGAACTCTGCTCTTCAGTGTTTGCTTTGATGACCCAAAGTCCATTATTTGTTTCTGAAACTTATGTCAAGTTTAGTTCCTCACGTTCTGAGCGTTTTTCTTTTGTTATCTTTGATCGTCGTGTGCTGCTGTCCTGGTGAGATTTTGACGTAACGGAGAGACCGGAGCGGCTTCGCGTTCGGGCTGCGGCCTGCTTTACACCTGCTGTAGCGGAGGCCTGTATCCACCTGCTCCACCTGTCGTGCTCTACGGTGCCGAGGAGGTTTTACCACGGGGATATCGCGGAGAGACCGGAGCGCCTCTACGTTTCGGGCTGGACCTGCTTCGCCTATCCTGTACTGCTGAGGAGGTTTTACACCGGGGTCATCGCGGAGAGACCGGAGCACCTCTACGCCTCGAGCTGGGCCTGCTTCGCCTATCCTGCTGTGCTGAGGAGGTTTTACACCGGGGTCATCGCGGAGAGACCGGAGCGCCTCCACGTTTCGGGCCTGCTTGCGCGCCTATCCGGATGCTGTGCTGGTCTGGGAAAATGGCCCCTATCGTGATTCTGCTATGCCTGTTAGCTATTTTGGACAATGAGAAGTTCTCTCGTCATCCTGAGAAGTCGACTGGGTTCAGGTCTGTTCTACCGCCCGCAGTGGACATCCCCTGTAAAGGTTCGGATGTGTTACACAAACAATTACTGGTTGCCTTGTCACAGACATTCAGTTCGACAAATGTTTGTCTTTCTCACTTGCCTGCTATGATGGTTCTTCAGGACTGCTTCTTGAGCTCTAATCTCACTTTCGCAGAGTTTGCTGGTGACTTTAAAGCAGATGACAATGTATGTGTGTCGGTTAAGAGGAAAAGGTGCTTGTTTTTTTTGCTATTATTACTATCAGGGAATGTACAACTAAACCCTGGACCGCCCAGCAGCAGTAGTAGTCAGATAGCTACTCCTGCTGATTTTATTTCTAGATCTGGGTTGGGATTCATTCACTTAAATGTGCGCAGTCTGTTACCTAAGTTAGATTTTGTCCGCATTTGGGCGAGCTCGACTGATGCTGATATCATTGTCTTATCAGAAACGTGGCTAGATAAATCTATTTTGGCCTCTGACATCTACTTAAATGGTTATAGTGTATATCGTACCGACCGTCCTAAAAAAGGTGGTGGCGTTGCCATTTATGTGAAAAATAAGTTTTGTGTAACCAAGATGGTTTCCAAATCTATTAGTAAACAACTAGAATTTTTAGCCTTAAATATTGAAGTAGCAAAGGGTCAACAGGTCATGGTGGTGGGCTGCTACAGACCCCCCTCAGCTGTCAAGGACTCTTTATCTTCATTGGCAAAACTTTTATCTCAACTTGACTACAAGGAAATAGTGCTGCTTGGAGATTTGAACTGGGACTGGTTAACTTCTGTGTCAGAGGATTTTAAAAACCTTTGTATCTCTCTGAATGTTACTCAGATTATAGACAGTCCTACTCGCCCTAACATTAAGTCCCCTAATAAATCCTCCTTAATTGATCTCATTTTAACTAATGTTCCCCATAAATACTTATCTGCAGGGGCGGACTGGCCATCTGTAGAATCTGGAGAACCACAGAACGGCCGGTCGTCAAGGGCTGTTGACGGCCGGCCGGCCCTTTACATTTTTTTTGTTTAAAGTCATTATTTAAGTTGCGCTTACGGCCGACAGAGGGCGACAGCGGCCGCTAATGCAGTTGTGTGGTTCTTATTTGTCAAATAATCACACACGAAGAAGAAAAAAGACCGGCCACACGAAGGCCCTCGCGGAGGGTCCGCCACATTTAAGTGCTGTTCCAAACCAACTAGTGTGGAGCGGTGTGGAGGGGGAGTGGGCTATCAAGCCCTCAAACAGCGAGTCTGCAGCGGTGCTGACTGGAGACCGGTCTCTACCTGACCGGAGTCACGCTGTGTGTGTCCGTCAGGTAACACGCTGTTTACAAACAGTTCCAGCAAACATCCACTGATAAACTCGCAGGTGATGCATATAAATGATGCATATAAATGTCGCAAATTGACAGACCTTTTTGGCAGCAGCGCTGCTACAAGCACTATCAGCAGCAGCTTAGAACAAGTGCAAGATGATGAAGAGAATGATGAGGGCGCGAGTTCAGATATACAGCCAGCCTCCTGCGTTCATGATGAGGGACAGAGAGTTGAGCTGGTGGAAGAACCAGCTCAACTGGCACATACAAGTGCAGGGCAAGAGCAAGAGGTGGGTGAGAATTATCCCTTGAACTCAGTGGCGTTTTCTCCTGGAGGCCAAGGGAAGCCAGGCTTCCCCTGTTTTTTTGGATTGTAGTTATAATTTTAATAAATAAATAAAAACACTTCGTTTAGTTTCGGTAAATATTCTGCCGGTCCATCTCTCCCCCATTCTCATTGAGTATTTTACAAAGAGTGAAACAGCGCCCCTCTAGATGTTATGGTGAAACAGTAGATTGCACTCTGTTGCGAGAGGAGGCTAGCCGAAATTGGCTTCCCTTGGTGAAAAGAAATTGAGGGATTGACCAATCAGATGAGGCTCACGTCATGCCTCACAATCAAATCAAATCGCATCAACTTCAGTTCGTACTGTAACTGTCATCACCGCCCTTAAAAAGTAGCAAGC